TTTTTATACTGACCTGGGAACAGTATATCTAACAATATATATGTTCCTGTACTGACGACGTATTTCTTTTTTTACCCTGTTATTTTCAATGGGAACCAACAATTTGTTTAAAAAGTTCTTGCCGCCTCCCCTCCACAAACAAATGAATGGCCAGTGTCTATTATATAATCATTAATAAAATGATATTTTATTTTCATAAGATCTACTTTAAGTTTACTCGGGGGTGGGGGGGGGGGGGGGGGGTGGGGGGTGGGGGGGTGGGGGGGAGGGGGCACTTACTATCTAATGAGTGGTAGGGATGAGCCGCTGAAATAGGTTACTATCTCTTGCTCCATGATATATGAAATGGGTGAGAAATTTAGATTTAATATATCAATAGGTTGATATTATCACTTGCTTGATAATATAAGAAGTATCTGAAACTAATCAGATGCCAGTATTTATTTTTGATGCGGTTAAACCACAGTCGTAAATGCATCAGCTATTTGTCAAACCAATCAATCACTATTTATTCCAATGTGGTATTTCCACTGATGCTAGTCATAGATGCTATAAATCCGATTATTTTGACATTTGCACCTAATTAACATTCAAAGGTTTGTATACATGAAACATTATAACAATTATTAAAAGAAATTCCATTGTGTCAGCGGGAAAGGCAACGTTACTTTTAATCAGTTTTTTATTAATGTAAACTTCATTGAAGTTCCTCTCTTGGGTGTTACCACTTTTATCTGACCAAACATATTTTATTGTTTATATTGAAATGGAAATTTCTTCATAATAAATGATATATACTGAGGGGCAAATATAGGAAAGTGTTTAAGATGTGACGAATTTATTGGAAAAGCAAGATGAGGTTACTGTGACTGCGTTGCTTCCAACGTGATGATGAGCGGGACCCCAAAAAATGTCTGTACTAATGTACCAGAAGATGAAAAATATCCAAATATATCTATAGTAGGTCTGTTTATTTTTGAGTGATATATGACAAGGTATATATTTTTGACAAACAAAATATATGAAAAGGGTGGGATACTTGATGTCTCAGCTGCTCACCCTTACCAAAAAAGATTGATGTGCCACCGCCCCCTCTCTCGATTAAGTTTATAACATAATGATTATATTTTTCTTGTTTCAATTACCATGAGTGAGGGTATAAATGGGATTAACACAGTAGATTATAATGGGCAAATAAGTAAAGAGTAGATTGATTGATTGGTGTTTAACGCCATTTTCAACACTTTTGTGGTATTTCATGGCGGTAAGTTTTTATTTTTTGAGAAAGTCAGAGTGCCCAGAGAGAACCATCAACCTTTGGTGGGAAACTGACAATCATATATAGTCAGTTAAGATTCAATTTGAATTAAAAACCCAAGTATAAGATAATATAATCTTGATTTATTTCAGACTCAAAAATATATGAATAAATTCATGACACAAACTTTTCTGTTTAAACAGCATAACAGGTTCAAATATTTACATTATTAATAAAAAAAAAAGGTAAACACGAATATTTGGATAAAAAAAAAGGGGGGGGGGGGTATTTTTTTTCAATTTTTAACAGCCATTTTCTCTTTTTTTTTTTACCCTTAGTATAATCAGCTGATTTCTTTTCTATAAGTCTATTGTTTAAATAGTAAATAAACTTTTTGTCGCTAATTTTTTCTTCTTGTCGCTAATATTTTTCTTCTTGTCGCTAATTAGTGAGACCGGGTCGACGTGTGCCGTTGGTCATTCAAAGGGTTATAAGGTTAATAAGTAGTGAGAATTAATTAAGTTATCAATTGTTGTAGTTGAAAGTATATCTCTTCATTTTGATTTTTTTAATATGGACGTTATAGTGTCGATTGTGTCCTATATTGAAAGTTCTATAGGGTATGCGATTGTTACAACCAACCGATTTTTTATTCTTCCAACAGAACCCTGCACAAACTCGATAATTTTGGGTAAAGGTCAAACGTTACGCAGCCCTTAGCAAAAAAATACAAGCTTCATTTCGTAGCATATTAGGTTGCTGAAGATTTAATATTATTACTTTAAAATATTTTTTGTTGAAGACCATTACGACCTAGAACTCTACACGGTCTTTTATTTAGTTTTTGTGTAGTAGAGTTGTGTTCTAACTGAAATAATATCTATTGTATACTTATCATGCTTAGTGAGAAGTTTGAGTATATACATGTATTTTCAATTTCTTATGAGTATATATAATAACTCAGTCGAGTTCGTTCTTCATACAATTCACTTCTAGACTTTTTTTTTTATTCAGGTTCTTAAAACGTATTCCAAACTCAATCCAACTGTAAATGCAGTGTTTAGTCCTATAAATTTTGACCAGAACAACGACAGTTCTTTCGATTCAGTTGTATCAAATGACTATTTAGGGATATCCCTTAACATGTCTTCCAGAAGTCAAATACTGGGTATATCGCTAGAAAATCAAATTGAAAGTGAACCATTAGGGATGTCTTTTGAAACTGATTCTGAATATTCGGTACAAAGTCCTGGAACATGTCAAATGTCGGTGTTTAACTCCAGTAGTCAAATACAGTTGTTTGATGGCGATTCAGAGTTTTTTCTAAATGAGGAAACACTAGCAGAGACTGGTCATATGATGAATACAGCACATTATTTCACAAGCACCCCAGTGAAACAAACATCTGAAGCTTATACATCAGACAGAGTTTATTTGTTTTCTTCATCCCCTGTAACACCTATTTCAAACAGCTTGAAGTCGAAGGATGTTGACAAAATAGACAATTCAACTTTAAGCCAACCGGAAACCGACGTAGACTCAATGAGTCTTGGTGTTGTTCCATTAAACAGTTCGTCTAATATATCAGAACCAACGAATTCAAACATTGATTGTGATATGCTTGCTGACATAAGGGGCATTATTCCAATTAAGACGTCAAAAGAAGTTCGACTTATAGATTCAGGTAAGACCAGTTTAATTTCATTTGATCCTGAACGACCACCTAGTCACCGTAAAGACAAAACTATTGATGCAATTCATAACTTGAGTCAGGAGGATATAAGAATTGTTTCAATTAAGAATTTTTTGGGAGTCGTATATAGGTTAATTTAAACATTTAGGAATTGATTAATCATGTCATTGAATTTATGTTATTCACAATAATAATTTTATTTGACGACACATTTATTTTGCTATTATGCAAACGATTGTTTCTGTTTTTGCCTCTCCTTGTTTTGATTCATTTGAAATAGAAAGGCATGCAATTTATTAACATTTATGACAATTTATGGAAACCACCATTGTTGAGTGCTGGAATGTGGCATTGACTGTGTTGCATAATATTTTGATTATGTAGTCGAAATGATATAGATATATGATCAGATTTCTCCTTATATTATACTAATATTTAGTTGGCTTCTGCAAACTTTGCTCATACTGCGATAAGAATCATCAGATAATCTGGTTGAAATCTGTTTGAATATGTCAAAAATCAGTAAATTATCTGATACAATGATCAGTTTGAATATCTTCTTATGAATGTAAGAAGATGTGATATGATTGCGAAAAAGACAACTTTCCACCAGAGACCAAATGACACAGAAATTAACAACTATAGGACACCACACAGCCTTCAAAAATGAGTAAAATCCATGCCACATAGTCGGCTATAAAAAGCCCCGAAATGACAAATGTAAAACAATTCAAACGAGAAAGGCCATCCAACTACATTTTAAATTGCCGTCGGAAATGAATAATACAATTTTTGTTTATTGTTAAAGGGTGGAGAAATGATCAGAAATAGTACGAAACACATATTATCAGTTTTGTGCGTAAAATATTGAGGTTCAAATTATGACTGGCTAGTGCTATTACTAGATAGCAATATGTATAAAAACCGATAATCTTTACTTATTCACTTAAGGATAAACTTCATAAGTGCACGGTTTATTATGAAGAGACAAGCCTTCTAATATAGTACAGCCTCGGTGGTCTCGTGCTCGTCTCGAGTGCGAGAGGTCTTGGGTTCGAACGATGGCCTGCTAAAACCAAAGACAAATTGGTATTTGCTGCTTCTCTGCTAAGGAGTAAGAATAATGTCTTTCGGTAGGGGAACATGCGGAAACTAGAACGTTAAAATTCCAGCGTGTCTGTTTATTACAAATAAAGATCCATTTTCAAATCACATTATCATGTTCTAGTCCTGAATATGTATTTTATTTGCCACTGGATAATACATACATAGCCTTCCATTCATCTAAAAAAAATCGGGACATTTAGTCCCTGCTCTGTTCTTTTTGTCGAATAATGCTGAAGGAGTCTTTTTTGTGATATAAAAGTAAAGCTGCCCTAACGCAGATCCTTTTTGTTCTGTTTAAAAAGGATTAAACTAGGAGTTAGTTTTAATTAGTAATATACTTAACAAGGAATTGTTTATAATTTAAAAACTAAGTTAACATATTCATAGTACAAGTTAACAATGAAACGTTCATGAAACACTCATGTACAAAGTATATGTAACAATATAAAAATACCTCTTTTATTTAAGTTCATACATTTTGTTTTTGGAAAGAGTTGCATCATTATCAAAATATATTACCATTTGCATGATGTTTATTTTTTTACAGGTTCTAGAGACAAAATCCTTACAAAACATACGAGAACAACACAGATTTTAAAAGTGCTGAAAGAAGATTGCTGTATGGACAATTGCATGCAGTCATTTAAATGTCATGACATAAAATCAATGAGAAGAAAATACTGGTCAAAAAATCCAACTGAGCGTTCACAGTGGTTGTCCGACAAATTGATGGAGCAAGCCGATGTTGACAAAAGTATTAGGTTCCTAACCGAGAGAGGTATATTTGTTTGTCAAACAGCGTTTATCAAAATTTTTAACATCAACAAAAGTGTGTATTACAGAAAAAGGCGTCTTTTTAAACAAAATGTTATTGCGTTTTCCTCCATCACATTTCGCCAGAGAACAACTAAATACTTAACAGCAATGAACTGGTTTGAGGACTACGTCACATTCCACGGAGACAGAATGCCCCATGTTAATATTGTTTATTTGCCGTACCGAACAAGGAAGTATGTAATATTTAAACAGTATAGACACGAGATTAACAGTGCTCTGAAAAGGTCAACCTTCTATAGGATGTGGACAGCATCGTTCCCACATGTTAAAATTAAAGAGGTAAGGTTTTTTTTTATGGATATCGGAAGTTAAAAATGCAACGCATTTACTAAAAAGTTGCCTAAAATCTTATTTTGAATTTGTAAAGTAAGCCAAACATTTTACTCTTGTCACAATAAAACTGTTTGAAATTTTAATTTATATTCATTTTCATGTCATTGATGTTTATATTTAGTTTAAGAGTTGTGTTTTTTTTTTTTAAGAAAATACTGTTTAACAGAAAAAACTTTTACAATTTGGAAACTATAGATTGTTACAATGCACATGTTTCAATGATTCATCGCCACTCAACTTTTAGATATCTATATAAAACAATTGGCAAGAAAAAAACTCTATATTATATATCAGCGACCGCAGTGGATACTAAACTATGAATTGCTAGTAAATAGGACATACAAGTTATTTGTGGTATATTTATGTTCATATAATACAGAAAAACTTGAAAATAACTGATTTTAATAGAAAACAAAAAAGTAACAAATTTTGAAAAAAGGAGCAGGGCTAAAAAAGATCGTGCTGTTCCCAAGTACCTATGCATTTAAGTACTGAGCTGAAAATAGGACAAAATAAATTTAAACATACATAAACGTCCTCGTTTTATATTCTATAATTATCTAAATATTCAGAAATATAATTTTTGTTCTCATTGTCAGATTAATTCGTTTTCAAAGTGTACAAAGTGTTCATCATTAGAAAGACGACTTGAAAAAACTACAAATCCTCAAATACGAGAAAAGTTGCTACAAATGAGACAAGATCATAACACTCGACAAATGTGAGTATCCATTATTAATTAATTTAGATTCCTATACTCGATCAACACACACATGTTATACCAAAAAAATATATGGTACATATATCACACACATGTTAGATCCAAATAGACCAATCTCATATTACCGGCCTTCAGTGACTATGGTGTTTATAATATTTCGTTCGGTTAGCTACTCTGTGGTAGGACATTCTGATACTCGGTCATATAAGAGCAACTAAAAGTATTAAAATGATTTAAAAAAAAATATTTACCCTTCTTTGAAATAGACCAATACGCTGAGTCGGATTTTAACGTGCTAGTTCAAAGGAAACAGTCTGCAGGAAGACATTTCGCCTTACCCGTACACATTATTCTGACTTCTCGCCAACTAGTCTTTGGTCTTACTCCTTAATGCCGTGTGCTTAGCGGAGAGCAACAAATACCAAATCTAAAGTCTTTTGTTTAACCCGGTCGGGGACCGAACCCACATCCCACACTCGAGGCGAACACGCTACCACGAGACCACCTGGGCTGTTAAAAAAAAAGCAAACAAGTCTATTACTGGATTTAAATCCCATATGCATTACACACGTGATTTTGTACTGTTTAGCTGTTATTATAAAAAGTTGCGGAGGGTATAATGTTTTTGACCCGTCCGTCTGTCCGTCCGTCCGTAAGTCCGTCAGTCCTGTTATTGTCATCGTAACTCCTCTGAAACCACACTACAGAATTTCATAAATCTTTGTAGATAATAAGGACATACTATGTAGATGTGCGTATCGACAGGAAATTACGATTAAATTTTTTTTCTAGGAGTTATGCCCCTCTAACTTAGAATTTTGGCCAAAATATACTACTGCAACAGTTTGTCATCGCAACTCCTCTGAAACCACAAAACAGAATTTCATGAAACTTTGTAGATAATAAGGAAATACTAAGTAGATGTGCCTATCGACAGGAAATTACGATGGAATTTTGTTTCTAGGAGTGATGCCCTTTTGAACTTAGAATTTTGGCCTAATTATACTACTGCAACAGTTTGTCATCACAACTTCTCTGAAACCACACAACATAATTTCATGAAACTTTGTAGTTAATGAGGACATAATATGTTAGTGTGCATATCCACAAGAAAAATTTTATCAGTTTACTTTTGTAGAGTTATGAATCTGGTGAGATTTTGTTTGTCCAGTGTCAATGTGGGGGCGTAGGGTATGTGAGCGTGCTCACAAAGGTTCTTTAATTACAGACTAAAATCTAGATACCGATGAAATGAAAATGCATGCACGTGATTTTCTCGCACCAAAAAATCAGTAAACACAATCGATGATGAGTATACTTATATATTCTATATAAGAGTAGGCATCCACAAGTATGATTATTCTACACTCAAATAAAAGTTAAAATTGGATGTCAAACTACTTATCTCAAGTGGTTGGACTCCGTATTTACTAAAACGCATTTGATCCTGAATATTTTTGAACGTAACCAGTACTCGTACTGATGTCAAATCGGATTTGCAATCCGATCATGATGTGTTGTGTCGGGATAAAATTCACATTTTGATTTTACAAATATGTGTATTGAAAAGTGATATATCTTTTTGTATTAAGATATACTATAATGACTTAAAATAAAAACGAAAGACAGATAGGCTGCTTTATTATATATTACAGAATAAGTTATTGTGTTTGGTTAAAATACTTATTCTGTACGCTCATAACATTGTAAACGTGTATTTCAGGGCAGAGAGAAAGTACTACTACAGAAAAAGAGATCTAGCTAAAGCTCATCCGACGCGGTATTTAAGTTTGATAATAGATGGCATGGACCAGTGTAAGTATGCGACATCTTATACAATATCACAAATATATTTCGTTCCATAAAGATAAATATATTGGAGTTGTCATATGGTTGTAGTATTCCTACAAAAAAAAAGTGTTCATGTGTAAAACAATACAGTCAAGATCAGTCAAGTCTGTTGGTTAATTGCTTATAATTAATTTATTTTTCAGCAAAGACAAATTTGCCACATTTTGTAGGGAGAACAGCCAAGGTAAATATAACAGTAAAACAGAAGCGTATTTTAGACAAGGATTTTTTAAATTTGTTTACGCAAAATTATGTCGCGTATAAAAATACGATGGGTATGATTGCCGTACGGCTTTCAATAATGAGCAAAACCCGTATCACATAACAAGCAATACATAGTTCCGAAATGACAAATGTAGAACGATTCAAACGAGAAAACTAACGTCCTGGCCTGATTTATGTACAAACCTAAAATAAAAATGATATACAAAAACAAACGACAACCATTGAATTACAGGCTCCTGACTTGGAATAGACACATAATAAATTTGGAGGGGTTAAACATGATTGTGGGCGCAGAACACTACCGCTAATCAGTGGTGCAGCAGCACAACATAACACGAACATGTACAAAATAATAAACGAAAAACAAATACGATATACAGCAACATGACAACAAATAAATAACAGGCTCCTGACTTGGGACAGGCACATAAATAATGTGGCGGCGTGGAACATCTTTGCGAGCGCCTGAAATTCCCATAACCTGTGACAGTAGTGTTACAAAACTACAACACATCACAAGAACAAAAACAAACTAAAGAAATCAGTCGAAAAGGGCCTCTTTTATCAGATAACTACAAAGCACAATCAATACACATGCAACATCCAAAGGATTTAGTGTAAAAACGTAGTTAGATAAAAAGAATCATTTGCTGCAGGAGTTATTATAAATTCATAAACATATAGGCCTTTGTGTTTGTTCTAGGATAGACATTCGAAAATGTGGCCAGAAACAGAATTTTTTAAATTTTTTTCTTTTATAATCAAACAGTAATGCTTTTATCGCCAAATTCTCACAAGTCTTTGTATAAAATAAGATTTGGAAAAAAAAAAGAGAGCTGCTAAATCAAATATTCTACTACAATTTAGGTCCAGTTTGAGAAATTAAAACAATAAAAACAACATGAGGAACATGACCAGCATGAAGTTTAAGTGCATAATCATTTTAATTAAATGATTGTTATCAACGAGCAGCATTGCAAACTATTAAAAAGTATATGCAATTATTGCCATTGAACTAACATAATAGTAAATTGATCTTTATTGTAGTCTGTAAATCCAGGCAATCAGCTGACAACGCATATTACCGGCATTTTAGCACATGGTCAACAAGCATTTTTCAGCTTTCTTGATTGGTGTCAATATCCACATGACTCGAACCTTACAATGAACTTACTTCTAGGAATTATCTATAAAATAGCAGCAATGAGTGTGAGTGAACAAATAATGAGCAATTTAAACAGATTTTAAATATATTTATAAAAAAAAAACCAATAAAGACTAAGAATCAGAGACAAACTTTGCAGGGGGACATGTCCGTTTAGTATTCTTATATGAATATTTTGCAATAGTTGAATATAAAATCAATGGAAATTTTATATATATTTACATGTATGTGATTAAGTTTACTTCTTCAGGTGTCTGGGACATTCTTAATACAATGTATCTTAATTTTTAAAAAAACAAAATGAATTTCAACCAATCTTTGTCTTGTCATAATATCGAAGGTTAATTCGATTATGTTACAAGTATAGCATATACCATACCACCTCTAGAATGAGGGAAAACATTACAACTACGCTGACATTCTTTAAAAGCGAAAAAACAACCAAAAGCAACACGGTAAGGGAGGAATAACAAATATTAGTGCGTATGTGCATCGAACATACGGTGCTTGCTAAGGCAGTATATACAAACTACTTGCAATTAATTTAGGCAGCAACCAGCAACAGCTTTTTAGTGGACACCAAACTTCTGTTTTGACACATCAAGTTTGTGACATACTATGAATACATTGTTAAATCAGATGTTTTCAAAGTCACCACGTTTTTGCAAAGTAACAAAAATTAATTGAACTAATTTTAATACCAAAAAAATAATAAGATGCCATTGGTCGGAATTGACAAAGGATAATGTCTGATACATGCGATTAACTATGCCTCCATGTATTACTGCTTTTTATGTATATTTTATTAGCAATGGAATATGGTAAGTTATTCTTTGTATGGTTACAGTAATTTGACAATAACTACATAAATGATTTATAAACGCTTCTTGTTTTAGTGTTGTTTTTTTTATTAATGAATGAGCCGGATAAAGAAATTAAGATTTGAATTATCATTTTTGCAGGGTGGAAAGTTACCTCCAATATTGTACATTCAAGCGGACAACTGCTGGCGGGAAAACAAAAATAAATATGTTTTATCGTTTTGCGAGTTACTGGTGCACATGAAAGTATTTCAAGAGGTAAACACTTGATATCTGATAACCCACTATAATCATACTGTTGTTAGATAATAGAACTCCTATATAAAAAAGTATCCGGGGAATACAATGAACACATGTAATTTCTCCTACTGAATTGAGCGATGATTCCTCCTTCTATTTTTGTAACGGTCGCATTTGCGGGATGTATCAGATTTTAATTTGATCGCCGATCAGTTTTTTTTTTTATCATATATCAAACATATCATGTTCATCGTCTAGATAAAAAAAAAATGTGCTGCTAGGATGTTAACCAATAACAATAAAATCAGCATATTAAAAAGGGGATAGGCCCACGCAAATGAGCAATCAAATGACACGAAAAACAAAATCTTATGTATGAACATGAATTACTGTATCTCAATGAATAAGATATAATAAAGTGAGAAAAGATACCAATGGAGAATCAATATAAGTCAAGTAGAATAAATCATCTCCATATCCAAAAGTAAAAAAACTACGAAAGCACAATCAACAACAACAAACCATTACATAGAAAACTAAAGTTTGAATAACACCAATACCACCGAAAAACGGGGTGAACAAAAGGTTTTTTAGAGGGATAAACAGCACCTCGTGCAACACCCGTCGTATTTCTAGACCAAAGGAATTCATGATATGAAGCACCGTCCCTGGAATAACGTATCAAGTGTAATATATATACTCCATATGTATGCACTGTCGGAATATTAATTCACGGAAATTTCAAACAATTAGCGAAAGAATGCACATACAAGATTCGTTATACCGACGTTTTTTTTATAAAATGCAACTCCATATCAAATTTGATAAGAAGTTTGATGAACATGAAATTATTTACAGGTTCACCTTTCTTTTCTGTATGTTGGACATACACATGAGGATATTGACGCCGGTTTCAGCAAAATCGCAGATTCCCTCCGTCGAAATGACGCAGAAACAATCCCTGAGCTTTTGGATCTCTTACCAAATCCAAGCAATTTAATTTGGCAATACGATATCAGGAACTGGCTAGAACCATTCATTGCTGATGTACGGAAACATACCAAGCCATTACATTATAAATTTACAATGGATGAAGTATCAAATAAGATAAAATTGTGTTACAAATCAAATCAAGCTGGACCTTGGAAGATTTCTTCAAGTGGCATGTTCATGTTCAACAATAAAGGTGAAGTAGAATTGCCTAAGGGTGTACCAAAAGTATCAGCGCCAGTTTTTGACAAAATATCTGTTGAAAAAATTGAAAGTGGAATTAATGACTGGAAATGCCTCTTCACGGATCAAATAGAAAATCACCAATTTAATTGGTGGAAGAGCCGGGTTAACTACATGAAGAAATTAAGAGATGATAATCAATTTATGAAAAGGGAAATCATACAAAAGGCAGTTTGGTACTTTGATAAATTACCGAAAATTAGAGAGACATCTGACTGTTTGGATGATAACAACCCACCAAAGGAAATAGAGGACATGATAAATCAGGAGCTTATAGAACACGAGGTAAGCACTAAATAATCATCAACGATTCTGACCTCGTTATGAATACCCATCCACAACGCACCCTTTCTCCCCTGTGTAGTTGAAGCCTAGCTATCAGTTGACAAATATATTATATTCCGATTCCCTTTATTATGATTTATCCTATTATTTCCTTTTTAGTTTTGTTATGTTTGTCTGAACGATAATATTTACAAAAACTCAGAAATTATTGCGAGGTTTTCATTAAAGCGAATAGTGTGACTTTATTTGTTTACATCATTTTCCTTTTATCCTTTTATGTATACATGTGTAGGTCATTGACAATACTATCTCTGTATGTTTACATTATAAATCAGGGAATTGTATAACTTCCTCTTTTAAGCGTGTAAATACTTTTTTAGCATACATGTTCTGATATATGACATGACGACAAGGGAAATAAAAGGGATGCATAAATATGCTATGGCCTTTTTTGCCTGGGGAATTGGAAACCCTATTTTCTTCATAATTTCTAAATTTAGCAATACAAAATTGGGAAATATACACTTCAAGTCATAAATTAATGGAGAACAGCCTTCTCCTATGCAAATGATACCTTTGGCATCGAACTATTTACACCTATATATGCTAGTATTTTTTTCTATCTTAGATACAGATTACCCAGAAAAGAAAAAGAAAACAAAGTGAACAAGTCAAAACCAAACCTGACATGAAAAAGCAGAAGAAAGTTATAAAAGGTGACTAACAAGAAACACTATTGTACAGTTGTTGTAATGTCATCGAGAGGAGCAATGACGATTTTTTTCAATGCTGTTATCGGTGGTAACAATTTCTATTATTTGTTTATTACAAAAAAGCGAGACATACTTCAGTTTAGTTGAATATTTGAAAATTCAAAATATTCATAGGGGGATTTGTCATAAAGATAAATTGCTGATCGAATTTCATTAGTTCCTCTGATTTCAAAGTATTTTTTATAAGTATGTCAAACGTGGTCTTGCTAATATTACTGAGAAAAACATATTTTTCTTCATTTCAAATTAAATATTATTCATTTGAGCAAGACATCTGGACGTAAATTTATTAGCGAACTCATAATGAAATCGGTAATTGACTACTTTATAATATTTATTTGTTTTTCTTTGATCATCAACCGACAATAATTAAGAATGAACTCAATCGTTTTTTATTTATTTACAGGAAATAAAAAGAACATGACAGCTAGACGCACCATATATTGCTCATATGTATATGGCTATATATGTCAAAAGAAACAGATATTTTATTCTATAATACAGGAACTAATAGAACTTATTTCCTTTTTTAATTTGATTTGTTATATACATGCGTTATTATATTTGTTGTGGCTATTTTACCTAGCAGTTGAACAACATATGGTTTCAACAGCAACAGTACAATTATGTTTTATTCAAAATAATACACATGCTTTAATATGTTAATTTCAAGAATGTAAATTTTCTGCTTGTGCTGTACTGACATTAAACAGTTTGTAATTATGTTTTCTCTTGTGAACAACATTAATTTCTATCTCTTTTACCTTCCTTTAATATGATGGATACACAAATACATCGTAACAAGAGAACCGCCTCGGTGGTATCGTGGTAGCGTGTTCTCCTCGAGTGCGGGAGGTCGTAGGTTCGACCCCGGCTGGATGGAACCTGAGACCTTAAAATTTCTATTTGCTGCTTCTCCGCTAAGCACGCGGTATGAAGGAGTAAGAGCAAGACGGCTCGAAGTGAGAATAATCTGTCCGTGTAAGGTATGTCTTTCGGCGGACGGTAACCTATGAACACCACGACGGGTGCCACATGTGGAGCAGGATTTGCTTTCTTTCCGGAGTAGCTGAGATCATCCCCAGTTTTTTTGTGTGGTTCGTGTTGCTTAGTCTTAAGTTTTCTATGTTATTTTTGTGTACTACTGTTTGTCTTTTTTTTTTAGTCATGGCGTAGTCAGTTTACTTTCAAGTTATGAGTTTGAATGTCCCTCTGTTATCTTTCGCTCCTCTCTTATGAACTTGCTAGTTAAAAATCCGTCTCAGCGTGTGGTTCTAGTACAAAGTAGAGTTACTATTCATATTACATTAACATGTTCTCGTCCTGAATATGCATATTAATTTGCCGCTGGACGTTGTGCAATCATCATCATCATCATCATCATCATCATCATCATCATCATCATCATCATCATCATCATCACCAAAACTCATCTTTTATTTCGTATTTGAATGTTTCAAAGTCATTCAAAGTTTTGTATATGTACATGGGGTAGTGTTAATTGTGCAATCGTGTACTCAAGAGTATTAAGCGGACAAAATATAGATTTACACTGTTTGATTTTCTGGAAAAAGGACTATTGAAAAATATCAAAATAAATATGATATCACGATAAACAATATGAACACGTGCAAATCTAAAGCCCGCTATCTTACTTTGCAAAATGATTTTAAGCAGTATAATTGTTTTGTCTGGTTTGCTTCACCGGAGCAATGTTCTAAATTTTTATTTTCAGGATTGGCGTTTTTAGTGGGAAAACAAATCTTTGAAAAATGCTGAAGAAATGGACAAATTACACATAATGGGGAAATTTCCCCATTCCGTGTATTTTGTTTATTTCTTCAACATAGAAAATGACAATTTACACGGCATTTTTTAAAGATTATTTTCATGTGGGGAAATTTCCCCAATATTGTCTAGTGCTCATGTATGTGTTGTCTTCCTGTATAGATGCTTTCCCACTACTTGTAATTTAATGGGGAAATTTCCCCATTTCGTATTCTTTATCACCATATTGAAAGTCAAATATTATTTGGGGATATTTCCCCACTTTATTCGTTATATTAATTACAGTTACTTACAAACATTTCTAAAACTTGAATTTGAAGAAAAGTGGGGATATTTCCCCAGTCTGAAGTTCTTTTTATTCTAGGGATATTTCCCCATTCTCATTTTTGTTGATATTCATTATGATCATAGATGAAGAATAATTCCAATGGTTACATTTTAATGTATTTTATAGCAAGGAGTTTCATCATTCTTTGTTGCTGCATGAATATAAAGATAACATCAGGTGTAATTCTGGATATATTTTCACAAATGTTTAGCGACTGAATCGGCAGCCCTTCATAAAATAAAGTTGTTTTTTTACAATATTCGTTTACAATCCTTTTGTTTACCGAATTTGCAACCACACAAAAAAGAGAATAAAATAGAAATTCTCTTTTTCAAATAGAATGCGTTAAATGTATATATAAAAATAAGAAGATGTGGTATGATTGTTAATGAGACAACTCTCCACCATCAACCAAATGACGTAGAAGTTAACAACTATAGGCATGTAAACCTACTTAATGTTTTTTCCTTGATAATTGTACATCGTTTACATTAGTTTTTTTTCCAATATAACCATGCTGAATTTTCATATATTTTTATTTTTTCATTTCAGACCCGGGATCGTTTTCTAGTGCCATGTCTAAAGATTTTTCATCCCCAGCTGCTTTGTCAACTGAGATTGGTAACAGATCTTCAAAAGACCATGACAGCTCTATACCTCAAAATAAGAGAGATATTTCAGACTTATTGTTGCGTTTGTTATTGAAACAGAATCCCCGTAACCATGTACAAAGGGAGCGAACTGTGCCGTCCGACGACAAGATTTTATCGTCGTTCAATTCCACGAAATCAAAACACGAACGAAGCCATGACAGAGTAATTGAAAAGATAAAAGAAAACAAACTAAGCTAGTTGTTAAAATTAAACTTTATTATTGTTGAGTATTTATTTAATTTGAATGAAAATTTTTTTTTGTCCTGCCTTTTTATTTTTCCCTCTATTCGGTCCTGCCTTTTTATTTTTCACTCTATTCGGTCCAGCCTTTTTTTTTTTAGTTTATCCTGACTTTTTTATTTAACTGAATTGTCATCCTGCCTTTTTTTTTTTGCAAAAATCTCATCCTGCCTTTTTTTTTACTCAAAACACCTGTCCTGCCTATTTTTTTCAAATTTCATCCTAGTCCCCCCCCCAGCATAACAATCAAATGGTAGCTCCCTAAACGACTAATCAGCAAAGCAAACGACATGAAAATAACACTTTATAAATTGCGAGCTTTTCTGAGGGTAGGAATGCTCTTTACCGTCAGGCGTCAAATGGTCATTTTCGGCTACCATTAGCGTCAAATTGATTGAAATCTTGTCGTGATTCGTCAAAATATCCTTATCGTGATTCGTCAGAGGTCTCAAATATTTATCCGTTACCGTTATTTTTGGAAAGAATTTAACATGATTCGTCAAAATCAGTGGATTTTTATATCGTCATCGAGAAAATTTACGTTTTTATCTTCATGTACCAAAAATTACCGTTAAGCAAGATTTTTTTACTGTTATTCGTCATGAAGGTACCCCCATTACGACCCTCTTTTCTGGATTTACCGTCAACAGGAACACCCAAACACAAACCAGGAATGTATAAATACTTAGAATGTGACCTATCGAATTAGACTATTTACCGGATTTGTAATAACATAAGCAACACGACGGGTGCCAAATGTGGAGCAGGATCCCTTCCAGAGCACCCGAGATCACCCCTAGTTTTTGGTGGGGTTCGTGTTGCTTTTTCTTTAGTTTTCTATGTTGTGTCATCTGTACTATTATTTGTCTGTTTGTCTTTTTATTTTTGGCCATGGCGTTGTCAGTTTGTTTTCGATCTGTGAGTTTGACTGTCCTTCTGGTATCTTTCGTCCCTCTTTTAGAAACGTTAGGAGCTTTATGACCAAAAGGCATAGGGACAAAAAAGAATAGCAAAGTTCGTCTAAGGTCAACTTTGTCTGAGGGAGTTGGAACCTTAGTATTCAATTTCGTTTTGCTTTTAAATAACGATATCGTATCAGTGCAAATATTTGGTGATATTGAAAAGTTGGTTTCTAAATATTTAATAAAATAGACTTTAAGAGAGAAACTACTCGATTCAAATTTTATATACTGAGTGAATTGTATATATGTGAGTGGTATATTCAGATACACCTGTAGTTAAAAAAAAGATGTTGGACAGGTTTCAATGACAGTGAAGAAACGTAAGACGTCTAGTGATTAACACTATTCATATTTAATGCAAATTGTTTAACAGCAATTTTTCTTATTTTCTACTGACACTTTGAATACAAAAACTTGTAAGAGTGAGACATGAAACCTTCTCGGACTCGCCAAGCCTCGTTAATGGCAAGCATTTTGTGTTTGCCCCTATTGACAAGAGAGTCAACAATGCTGTCGCTGTTTGACGAAAGTAGTCCAGATAATGAAGGAGGTATTAAAAAAGATTATTTATTCTAATTCTTTTATTCATAATACTTTCCTCAAACAAATTATCGTTTATGAATAATTTTTAACAGACAAAACTTAAAGCTTATACTTAACATTTCTGTGTTCTCACTGTGAATTAGTTTCCTGTTTTACAACCTTTTTAGTGAAGATTTTATTCAGGTGCTATGTTCACAAAGTCACATTTTTACGTAATTTTATGTCAAAATTTCTATATTTGTTCTGAATGTTGAAAAATGAAAAATACACGTTAAGTAATTCCATTCGTCCGAAGCGCTTTTCTGTATTTACCTTCATCAGCTATCGATAGCACATTATGACACGAGAATTTAAATGTGAATAGACGTAAGCACCGATTAAGAAGTATACTTTCAGTATATATGCAGGTACAGGTCTTCATTGTTTCGATACATGCTATTTATGTTATGTGTGTCTGTCCGTCCGTCCCCTGTGTATGACAACTGAAATGCATTTCTTTTTGACAAAAAACGTAAATTAAAAAAATCGCACCTGCTCTATCCAGAAAGATTTTTTACAGTGTAGTAAACTACTTTTGGAATGAATTATGTCAAGAGTATAGTTAAGTCTATCGACTCTAACTCAAAATATTATAAAAAAATACTTCTATGTTATAGGGGGTCTATATTTCATTTTGACAGCTTCAAACATACTTATTTTTGGCCTTTTCAAACTGGACCAAATCACTACTTTACCTAAAAAATCATGCCCTAATTTTTTTTTTACATTGAATTTCATCTCCTAACTTACTATTTTATGCATAAAATATAGAGAAAATAAATTTGGAGGTGTATGAAAATGTTTTGCAAGTTAAACACTGTCCGTGGACTCTATTTGTATCAAAGGACGATAACTGTGTCCCCGGACCAATTGATAGCCATTCCAAAAATAAAGTTGATTGCAGATCTGTATAGTCTTTGGTCAAATAATGCACTTTTTGTGAAGACTTGGAGAAATTGACAACAGTGATGTTACGACGTATAAATACAAAACTCATTCACACTTATACAATTCATAAAAGGCGTAACATTCTTGAAACGGTTATTAATTGGTCTAGTTGCAAAACATAAGTTCAAGGACGAAGTCAATACTAGTATTTTAAAGTCAGCATAGGAGAAGAACAATCAATGAAAACATAAAAAAATATTAATATCAACGCAAAAACGATAGTT